CCGGGGGATACGACAAAAAGTTGACAGCAGTTTTTCGCCGAAATTGGGAAGAACATTATTGTGGGGGGAGGGGGGGATATGGGCACCACCGTCGATCTGTACTCCGAAGTATCTATGCTACAATATACAAGTAGCCAACAGACCAGAATGAATGTAGAGTACAAGAGCTCGACGTCAGGGCAAGGTTGGGCGATGAACGTTTTGAGGTTCAATAGTCCACATTGCTATACATCGAGCGCGAGAACCGAAAGCATTATAGACCTCCCCCACCTTCCGACACTGCAGGTGGATGAACGTATGTCTTGGAAAACGCTGTGACGGTGCCCTCCAGTTTGTGTCACGAGGCATCAAGGGCGCAGATGCAGTGTGGAAGCTTTGGATGCTTCCAGTAAAGCATGACGGCCCGTTGTGGCTACATCCCGCCACGGACAACCACCACCTGCTGGTGACCGAAACACAGACAAAAATCCTTCTGGACTGCGCAATGTCTAATGTTAAATAGTCACTTGGTTCTTTGTGACAATTTGCGGTGGTGGAAAACGCGATGTGGACAAAAATGTCATACCCCAAAGTAAAGAGTTCACGAACCTTGATCTCCTTTCTCCCACGAACCATCCAGGGCTTGCACCGAAGCTGTGGCGATGCACCCCTTTTCAAGCTCATGCAAAACCTACCAGTGCAGAAACACCCCCCCCCTCGTATGACGCCCCCGACGAAGCCACCGTGGCACCGGTATCTCTTGTTCCTTCTTTGCTAAGCTCAAGTGGTCCATGCCCAGCCCACAGACAAGCCCATCAGGTACGGTTGGATCCTCTGCCACATCCTCTACCGTTGTGAACGGGCGCATAGAGACACTCCGAAAGAAGTAGTATTATTTTTTTTTTTGCCTGTCGGGTGCGACGTATGAAGCACAATGCGCAAGGGCGTGCGGCGGGATAGGTAGGTGTGGTTGCGGTGCTTCTTGTCCCATTATCATGATGCATATCGATATGCACAGCAGGGTTGCGAAGTTCTGGCGAAGCGGCCCAATTATTGTGGGCGACCGGGCCATGTACATACCCCTTCATCGAATTCCGATCAGTTGAGCCCCGGCCCGTTGGCATCCGCTGGCATATCGGGTGCGACACCCAACAGCCAGCCCAAGCCACACCACTACTATGCAACACACACGCACGACCAACTATGCCAAGCCCATGGAGATGCCATGGTCAAGCGGCCAAGCCCAGGGGCTCCTTCAGCTTGGGCTACAAACATGGGCGCACCAGCTTGCGCTATAATAGCGCTCGATCCACGGAGAACTGGGCGGCACGACGATCTCCTCCTTCAACTCAACTCGAGATTGCACATGTAGTGGCGAGCACCGGGAGAGCGCTCTCAAGACGCGAGCCTTCCGAAGATGGTAAGTGCTGTAGGGTTTGTCGGGATCCCGACATCGAGGCAACGCTGCTTGGCATTATTTCGTGTGCAGCACAGCAGCAGCGGTGCAGCTAAAGTTCTCCCTACAGCTTGTACAATTACCAAAGCTGGTGCTGGTACCGAGCACACCTACGACACACATACAGCTGCAGCACCTACCGAGGCAGGGAAGCAAGTGTACTATATCAGTACTGCATTGGTGTTACTAGCGTTGTGTGACTCCATCGCACCTTGCGTCGTCCGTAGCACCTATCTGCCGCTCTCCCGACGACAACAGCACAATGTAACAAGCAGTAGAAAAAACCAAACGGCCACCCGAGTCTCTGTGCTGTGTACTTGAGTACCACACCAATAATTCTCCGGGACCCCCTCTATCGTTGTTCGATTTTTAATTGTTTGCAAGAGTCGACCCCATGCCCTTAGCCAACCCTGACACTCATTGCATAAACCTCGACCTGTAGTGCAACCCGCGAGATGCCTCGAGACAGCAGTAATTTTCTGTCTTCAACATTTTAATAGCTGTGATTGCCGTGACGTTGGATCAAGCTGTGCCACGAACTGAATGAATCATTTTTTCTGTATTGCTCCCTAGCCCTCTCTGCGTACTCTCGGGAGGCAACCTGCGCTTAGCTGTCAGACCCCCCTAAATTTTCCCGAATTGCCCGACCGTCACCCTTGTGATAAAAAAGAGCGCAATAGAGTTGAAAAACCACATGACAACTGTCTTATCGGCACTACTACATGCATGAATGAATTTACGCATGTTCAGCTAATGGTCATGTGGTCGGCCAAGGGTCGGCCTCCAAAAATCGTCATAACGTACTCGTTCCAGATATGTACAATATCTCCAAACAACCCCAAAACCGATATTATATCCTCCTCCAACACGTTAAAAAAACGCGGCTACCTCCGAACGTATCGTCAGAGAGGGGATTTGGCGATTTGACCAACTTTTCGGTCCTACATGTCGTTTCACCATCTTGTTTCTACGCCTTTCGCAGCTTGCTGCACTCCACATGTTTTTTTTTCCATGATTATGTTTGTCCTCTAACGTCTTTCAGTTTCACTTCATAACATGCTGTCTTACAACATCTCCCTGATGTCCCTTCCTCGGTTATTTTGCCCACAATGTGCATCACAGATCAAGGCCGCCTTCGCCACTTCTCGGCGGCGGCGGCAGCTCATCATCGGTCGCGGCGATCCTCCGGGAGAGGCGCAGTTCAGGGGGGCAGGGCAACCGGAGGCGCGGTACGAGGCTTTACGGCTGGAGCTTCGCCATCATCGAACCTCAAGAACACGAGTGCGCACGAGCGCGTTCTGGGAGCCCGCGGATCTCGGCTACGAGGCCTTCATGAGTAAGTGTTGTCCTTGGTTTGTTTCTGTCTTCGTGGCGTACCAGAAAAACCGTGACGGTGTAAATAATGTTTTAATCCTTTACTGGGCAGCTGCGGTGATCGTGTCCTCTCTCTCCAACAGAATTACGGTAGCTTGTGCAGCTTCGTCTGTTCAGTGCGTAGTTGAGTTTGGACATACAGCAGAGTTGATCGGGCGTCGCACACCAAGTTGTAGAAAATGCGTGGTGTTTTGCGTTGGAATCGGGCGAACGACCTGTCTCGTTGGCCGTGTGCACCAGTCGCTTCCCGAACGCGTGCGGACAGGCTGATTATTCTTGGTCTGCCTTGGAGAGTGATTACTTTTTCTTTATCGCTGCAGTGATACTGCACCCAGTAAACGCACGTTCCCGCCACGTACGTACATCGATCCGTCTGTTCGCAAGATATTGATGTATCTACCTAGGTTTTCGATGGTTCCTTCGTTGAGACTAAATATCTCATCCTCTATCTATATGTACCTGAACGTCCGTTCGAATCGTCGTTTTATTCGTTTTCTCGCCGCTCAAAACACAGAATTATTTCGCGCACCACTGCAATCTTCGCGTGCCCAGTTGCACAAGGCCGTCGGGCTGCCGTGGTCGAGTTCGTGTTCAAGAAGCCTGCGTACGGATTGATGAGGGTCGTGGCCGCGGGCTGATGGCGTAAGATACCGAGACTCTCACGTAGTGCGACGTGAGTATGTATATCATGTACTGTAGTGCCCAAGCGGAGGGAGCATGGGTGGGTCCTGTCGCGCGTTGAGTATCGTACACGAGACAGAGCAGCACGAGCACCAACAGCTAGTTAGCAGCAACCACACCTGGATTGTGCAGTTTTGTGGGGGTGGACGAGAGGTCGTCAGCCTGCGGAGAGGGGAAGCTCATGCGTATCTACGCAAGTGATAATGTGACGTTGCCCCCTATTGAGCAACCTGCTCCCGTCGATTCTCTCGTCTCGTTTGCTCCCGCACACAGGACATGATGGAGTTTGTCGGCTGTACGCTCGAGCTGCACCTTGAGGCCCACGGTTCGGGAGGCTGGGATGCCCTGGACCCGTCTGGCACTTGGAGGATCTGGGGGGGGCATGAGACCCTTGTTCATCTGAGTGCGGCTGGCGTGACCGCGGTAAGCCTGCCACGAGGTAGGCCTGCACAGAGGCTGAGATCCGCTGTTCTCTTGAGAAATTCAGGCGGTCCTAGATTTAACTGGATGGCGAATACCGGGAAACTCGGTGCCGAACCCCCATTTCAGTAATATTATCACTTTGACGTCATTTTGTACACCAAAACTCGAGGTTGGACATCGACCTGACCTTGAGTTTACTTAGCTATCGGCTCGTTCCGTGCCACCTTGAGTTCCTTTTCGAGAGCTAGCTATGCGTACAATAGAGGGATGGGCGAGGGGAGATGCATGCCACGATTCGCGACTTCGTGGAAGGCAAATTTACTATGTTCGCTTCGGTGGCAGTCTTGACTATATCCGGGGTGCATGGGTTGATAGTGTGCCATCGTGTTAGGGTTAGGGTTAGGGTTAGGGTTAGGGTTAGGGTTCACACGTGAGTACTCTACCAGTAAATAGAACAACCCCGGTTCTGTGCCCTCTTCCCGGCTCGCGAGGCTGCTACAGATGCAGACCTTCACCATGGCGGAGTGTGCTTGGTCGCGCTTGCTTGTACAGAACAAAGCTTTGGAAGCTGCTGAGCTGTTGCTGTTGATGTGTGGTGTACTGCTGTGTGCTATGTAGGTGTGGGCGTTGCATGGAAGATCCAACCCGCTTTTCGGCAGCAACAGAGGCCCCGTGTAGACTGCTGCCTGTCTCATTCCACAAGCGACTTTGGTGTTGGGTTTGAGGTTTGAGCCTGTACCGATTTGGAACCCACGGTGCCACGGAAGGAGAGCCCACAGCAGCATAGCCCGGCGTGGACGATCTGGCCTTGATTCTTAACCCCACAGAGGTGTGAAGCCAATAGCGTAACCTGCCTCGGATGGTGCCGCTCATTCTCTCTTCTTTTTGCAACTTTTTGTTGTTATTTTGTTCTGTGCCCTTTGCTGTGTGCTGCTGCTGTGTTCACGGTGTTATAGCCCCCTTACTATAGAGGGACCACGCCCTAGAGACCGAGAGCGACCTATAGCCCGAGGGCAGGGGGGTGTTCGGAACCTCTTACGCCCTCCTCACTCGGAGTATTGCGGACACAGGTGTTCGGTGAACCACCATGTGCTCCAAAGTGAGCGTCTCTAAATCATACACTTGTTATAGAGGGATTTTGGCCTTTTTTCCCCGCAATTTTCTGCTGACAGCTGGTGCTACTCTCCGTGCTCAGAACTTCCTCAAAATTACGATTACGGCTCGGATTTTTTGGTGACTCTGTCTCCAGACGTTGGGCAGACTATACAGCTCACTCCCAGCGCGCCGGCTATTCCACGCAGCACGGCTTACCCCAAAGTGTGTGGGGTGTGCCCTCTGCTCTGCCCCAAACCAACGAATTGGGAAGATCCAGTCTATTGGCCGAAATTACTGCAGTGGCATCCCCTGTGCCTAGCTTTTTCGCACCAAAAAAAAGTCTCTCGTGGAGATGCTCTATAGAGTCCCGTCCGAAAGGCCATCTGTCTTACAGATAGACTACGTTTCAGCACAACAGATAGTTTACAGCACCCAGCAGTGCTAGGTGAGACCACAGCAGTACTGCTGCAGCATTGCGACAGGTACCAGGGTCGCGGCATCGGGTATCGCCGTAGGTGCCGGGATCGCAATGAGCATTCATTGTAGTGCGTTGGAATATCATGGGTTAGAGCGCGGCCGGAATCGATCCGCTGGTCTGGTGTACACGCCATTTGAAAAGCTGTATTGTTTTTGTTCATGTACTTTGAAACATATGCTCGTTCGTCGGTGGACAAATACCTACCGTAGTCTACTCCTAGTTGCTAATCAGCCTCGTACCTAGAAATAACGCAACACAACAGCTGTGGACTGCCAACCGTGAGAGATGTGTTGTCCTTACCACGGGGTTACTGACGCCAGCCGAAACACTGGCCTGGACAAAGGCCCTCCGAAAACGCCCCCAGACTCTCAATCCTTTCTCATTGTGCTCTCTCTCTCTCTCTCTCTCTCTCTCTCTCTCTCTCTCTCTCTCTCTCTCTCTCTCTCTCTCTCTCTCTGTCTCTCTCTGTCTCTCTCTCTCTCTCTCTCTCTCGCTCTCTCTCTCTCTCTCTCTCTCTCTCTCTCTCTCTCGCTCTCTCTCTCTCTCGCTATGCGTATTCCTTCCCCCGGGCGCTACTGTTTCGTTGCAGAGGGGGTTACGGGGCATCCAAAGTTCCCGCGCGGCTCGCACTGGGTTTAACTCTGTGGCGCTTGGCATGCCCGACGACATTACTCGGCGATAGACTGTTCTGGGGCTTGGCAGAACCTTTAATTTGCGAGATCTTCAACGCTACCATCGAGTGCATTTACGATCGTTGGGGGCATCTAGTTGACCAGTTGCAACACGAAGCGATCCTGCCTAAGATAAATATGTTCTGTGAAGCCATTCAAGACATGGGTTCCCCCCTAGACCGCTGTTGGGGATTTATAGACGGAACTGTCCGTGCGATTGCTCGCCCGTGGCGCATGCATGCAGAGGCTCTGGTACAACGGCTGGAAACGTAAGCATGCCTTGAAGTATACAGAAGCTATCCACGGGGCGACAGAGGTCGGGAACGGCGGAGGGTGCAAAAATGCATGAGTTGGTCGGATAGAGTGTGGTATGCTGCGGGCGGGAACTTTGCCGGCACTATGTATTTGAACAAATGAACCATCTCGGGCCAACCATGACGATCTACACCCAGTATGTGAGATACGGCCCACCCCAAATTTGAAACTCTTGCAGAAACAAAGAAGTCATCAAGCAGGAAATTGCGCATTTTTTTGTCCGAGATTTTTCGTTGCTGTAGGAAACGGCCTTATAGGCAGAGGGAGAAAGCAATGGACTCGCATACATCTGTGCAAGAGATGAACTTGTTGGGTGACCATCGAATCGGAGATACAACCGGGGTCCAACATCGACCATGTCCTCTTGCGAACCCCGTGGGAATGAAGAAACCAAACTCTTGAGTGGAAGCCCTGTGTCCTTGTAAAATTCATGGTATATATATTGCAATTCCTATGTGGACGCCGCGGAATACTGTGTCCAATACCATTCGACTGCCGGTAGCGAAAAGAAAAGAGGGCACATGGCCGTATCGATCGGATTGGATGCTAGTATGCATACTTCGCATTTATTGTCCATTGCGGGAACACAGAATATATATGTGGATGTGTGTCGAGGTTGCTGTTCTTCCCCCGGGTTATATCATTACCCGGGGTATTCAATGGCAGGAAAAATATGACCCCCCCCCCCTGTTTGTACGTACTCCGGGCGCGCAATTCAGATGCAAAGTTCATCCCCTCCCCGGGGTGCGTCACCGTTGATTTCCGATTTGCAAATAATTAAGTGCATGTTGCCGGATTCTCCCGCTGAAGGGACGCCAATGTCGTGCCTTTGAATGTTTTAACTCTTTCACTCGCGCTCGGAACAACCCCACGGAGCACCGACGCGGATTCTATCCACCTTACATGTGGGTGTGCATGCATTCTTGTGTGTGGTGTGCACGTATTACCTGTCACCGCTGTTCAGGCGTTACAGGACGTACTTGAGTGGCACAACACATGCCATCCTCTGCTTATGCGGAGTACCTGGCATAGGTTGCATAAGATACCACACGCTCTTCGTCACTTGTAAAACCTACCAGGGGTTTCGGCGGCTTGCGCCGCCTCGCTTAAGGAAGCGATTCCAACATGCATCTACTTCGTTTTTCCCGTAAAATACACGATCGATGAAACGTGGGCATGGGGATAGATGTTGTTTGTGTGTGGCATGCTTTTCCCGACGTTCGTGTTCAAAGTTTATGTGTTTTGAACGATGTTGACCGACTCTTTAATGTCGCAGCTTTTCACCGAATATGTACCCGAGATGAGTTTCCCACGTAAACTAGCCTAGACGAAATCAAAAGGGAACATCCACCCGAACGACAATCTTGACCGACGGGCTATGCCAACGACACCTCCGAAACACCAGCAGCGACTATACCCGCATGAGCAAATGCGTAATCGTTCGAACTACAAGACAGGAAGGATTGTCATGAGTGACGAAACGACAGGAAGGCGATACAACGCGACAGCGGTGTCTATACCCGCCAACAACACACACACACGATAAACGCGATCGCGATCCCGACACCATTGACACAGACTTCCAACATACCGTATGTGACACAAGATACCACACCCCCCGGGTCGATGTGTAAAGCTCAATTGATCCACAGCAGCAAGAATGGCAGCGCCGTAAACGGTAGCGTTCAAGCCATCTCATCGAGTGCTTTCCGAAAATGTATCGTTTCCTTCGTGTGCACTCTTTGTGGAGTAATCGAGCTTTGAAAATCGGTCCAGGGGGCGTCGTACATTAACACGTACGGTGCGCTGGTAACGAAGGCTGGGTAAGTTGGGATGTGGGAGAACGTTGAGGAGTGAGCAACATGCGCGACCGAACGAATGCGGGTGTCGAGAAAAAGCGTAACCCATGGTTGTCATATCTTGCGATTGCACCCAGACGGGCGACGACCTGACGACTCAAGATCGAAACACAAAAACCCGCTTCTACGTATAGTAAGTTGTAGAGAGAGGGAGAGAGAGAGGAGAGAGAGAGGAGAGAGATAGACCCGGTATACAATGCAGACAATTAAGGAATGATAAAAATACACACAGAAAGACTACCCATTCGAGATATACCCACAGCAGTCGAACGGGATGTGGTGGAGTCTTTTCAGTGAGTGGAGGAAAACCGGCTGGGTACTGGACATATTTCGAGTCTTTTCAAGTCTATACACTGATGATTTATACCCGTGATGCAATAATCGAATTCTGTGTGTGCGTACACTGGATGACTGCAGCACGGTCGATGGTAGATTGCGGAGAGCATGGATGCGAGCAGCTGCCTTGGGCACGGGGATGTGGCTACTACTGATCAATGCTTGAAAACAAGGTGCGGGCGAGAGCAATGAATGAATGCAACGCTGACGGGGTGCAGAGCTGTTTGGGGTGTCGGCGCGTGTACTATGTTATCACGCTCGCGGGCTCTTGTCGAGAGCGTGTTGCACAAAGGAGTGACTCAAGTTCCTTGAATATTAGAGAGTTTAACGAGTGACAGACGTGAGCAAGAAGAGGCAAAGCCTGCTGCACCAAGTCTGTCTATCATACCCATATCTATCTCATCTGCGTAACCCCCTCGGAGATCTCGGAGAATTGTATCCTGCCGTGTACACACACAAACAGCCCCCCTACTCGGTACGAGATACGATCTACGAGATCCTCCGTACATATCGCCAGGTAAAACGGCAACAAATCTAAAAACCATTCATCTTTCGTATCCACAAATAAATCATCTCAACTCCCGGATCTATCGAATATTCAAGTTTCAGGTTACTCCTCCTCCTACGACTATGGAACTTCACTAAGAGTCTTAACAAGCACCCCTCTCGAGAAAATGTCGTCACCACATTCTCAAGTAGTCAAACACAAAGAATTATCCTTGGAAGATTACTCAGCAAAGATCAACATTACATCAGAGCCACGTCATAAAGACTCTGGACGGACAACTCTGGCAGAACGCGTCAACAAATACCTCGAACAAAACCCTCGCACAAAACTGTGTTTCAACTCATTGACCAATTTGAAAAAAGCTTCGGAAGCACACAGGCCTCAACCATGTCTTACCAAAATATGTCAAATCCTTCCTCCAATACATCGTTCAGAACAGTCATCAATACCTAATACTTGTACATGCGGCACAAATAGACGAACGTTAAAAACCCGGCGATCAAAGACGCCAGAGGAAACTTTCGCCAATTATGCCGTTTCTCAAACATCGAGGCATGGATTTCTTAGCAGCCCCCCTGCTGCAGTATCTTCCAAAACATAAAAGCTTAACAGCCCCCCTGCTGCAACAACTCTCGGATCCAAACAACGAGAAATCAAACGAATATCATGAAGTTACGTCCGATCTCCGCGGGAAAAACGCGAATCGCGAATAACCAAGAAATGTATTTCTTATCCTAGCAACGAGGAATCAGACAAGTATCATGAAGTTGCCTCAAACTCCGCAGGTAAAAGCGGAATCGCAAACAAACAAGAATTGAGGACGACGTTGCCTCAAACTCCGCAGGTAAAAGCGGAATCGCAAACAAACAACAATGGAGGACTTCTACTCATTTTCCTGTTGTATTCTTATCCCTTACCCAGATCATTCAATGTAAGTATTGGATTTGGTTGGGTGAGGCCTCCTGCGCCTGCAGGAGGGCCTCGCCACAAGTAACCCTTTGGGCTGGGTGTACCCAGGCCCAAAGTGTTTGAATGATCAGCAAGTTCATGAATATAGTAAGCATTGTGTAGGGCGGGTGGGATGGTCTCAAATATACCCCTTCTTCTCTGCTCCGGCGTATTTCGGGAGAGAAAAGGGGGACTGAACTAGGTGGGGTCATTTTCCAACATCCTTTCTGGAATATCTGACTCTTCTCGATTTCGTTCCGAAATCTAGATGCGTCTCAAATCCGAGATTACTGTTGTATTCTTATCCCTTACCCAGATCATTCAATGTAAGTATTGGATTTGGTTGGGTGAGGCCTCCTGCGCCGGTCTGTGGTCCCGCCCATTACTTTCTTGTTAATTATCCGATCTGTCACATCTTATTTATTGACCACTCACGCCTCTAAGCTAGGTCTCGCCCACCCAAACTTTCTTATTTTTCGCGGCGAGCACACGCAGAGAAATCGCATGTGAAGTCAGCCGACAACGGCAACGCGTTTGAGTCTGCGTACAGCTCGCTCCGGATCCTCTTGGAACCCGTTGCCCCCACACTAGTAGTGGCGCCAACATATCGCTTCGCTACACTCTCCGTACGCCACCCGGCAATTTTCATGATAGCGTCCATCGCCGTTCCGTCAAGCGACTGCGCTACAGAACCTCCAAC